GATGAGAACGTGGTGGATGATACTGACGAGATGATAAAGTTCCTCCAAATCACACAGCAGTATTGAAAGCTTTAGACACTATTCCTGACTATTTACAATTTAATTTTGCTTCTGAAACTCCCCCTTATCCCATTTATTTGAACTGGAGGAAACTGTTTTTGAAATAAGTCGGGAAAAACAAATACAAACATGTATTAAGATTATTTTGTAAGGAAATAAATTGTCTTAAGGTATGCTAAATTTTTTCTTTGTATAATTATATTACTAAATACCAAAACAGTATAAATATTAACATTTAATCTTTAGAAACATATTTATTCATATTCTCACTGCAATTTACGTTGCGTTTTAGAATTTTGAAGTTTTTCACTTATGCGCCTCTTTCACTTATGCGCCTTTTTCTCTTGGCCCCTTACACCGGTACATAAGTTAGAGTGCACTACTTATTTTTTTAATGTTTATTATTTCTTTTTTATTTTATTCATATTTACTTGTAATCTTATGTGACTTAGACATGGTTACATAATTCTGGTTTCATTATTGGAATAGTAAATTTAATATCTGTATTAGAATATATGTATCTGGTTTAGGTTTAAAATACTTTTTATTGTAAAGAGTATATGAATAATCAAAAACAAACTGATCAATAAATTGTTTAAGTGGGGCACAATTTTGTATATGTAAAAGCTATGCCATCAGTCTAAATTACTCACCTTATCAGTCCTCAATAAAACACAGAAAAATTTTACTGGTCCTTCAAGTAAATCGGGTTGAAAAACACTGCATAATTTCTTGTGTTATTGTCCTATTTTATTTCATTACAGCTCAAAGATATTCTTTGTTCTTACAAGTGTATGAGTGTTGACTAAGAAACTATATCATGAAGGTAACTTTATACCAAACGCAGCAATTTTGCTCCTTTGTTGAAAGTGTTCATACCACATAGTTACTACAGCCCTGTTTTTTTTTGTTTTTTTTTTTGCTGTGTTAGCTCATTTCTTCTAAATTTAGATCTTGTCTTCTGTAATTCACTCCATTGCTCTATTCATTATTCAAAATTATTAGACTAAATTATAAAGAATTTTTTTTTTACACTTTATGTGAATGAAATTGTTCTGTATAAAACTACTAGTAAGGGCATATAATTCAAACACACTGCTTGCACATACAAAATTGTAGAAAGCCTGTACCACAAGTTAACTTTTGTATTCTCGTATTATCTTTGTCGATTTTATCATTTGTTTTTCTTTAAGTGGTCTTCATGTTTAAATTCTTTATTTCTTTTATTTGAAAAAGTTTTTATCTTTATTTTTTACTAAGTTAAATTTTTATAATTTTTTTTTCTTCATATATATAGAACAGCGCTTTTGTCATCCTGTCAGTTTTTTGAATAATGGAGGTGAATGTCCTGCAGTTTTTGGTAGGTATTTAGTGACAGCACTAAGTTTTAACTTGACTCTCCTATTTAAAATTATTTAATTAATGAAATGGAGACATTAAGGCACTTGAATTGTGAGATTTGCAGTACCCTTTTTGCTGCCACTGAATGTAGTCTTTTTAATTGATTTTGTTAATTAATTGCATTACAAAAAGCTTTGAAAGAAAATGTTTCTACTACATAAGCTAATTTTTAAATACTAAGTAATTCCTATGTTATTCTATAATCTTGGTAACATATATTACATGTAGGTTCTGACTGATTGAAACTGACTTATCTGATTTAATTTAAAATTTTGTCATTTAAAATTACATATTTTCAGAGTATTTTGTGTGCTTTTACAATTGCAGAATTTTGATCCTTATTAAATTAGGTATTAAAAATAAATATTGAATTTTTTGTTTTTGTTTACACAGATTTATCTTTGTATATGTAAGTTATATATTCATGTACAAAATTTAGAGTTCTGAACTAAACAATAACGTCTTTTCTGGTTGAACTATTGAAACCATGTTATTGTGGTAGCCGCTACCTTTCTGATTTTATTGATTCAAAATCCTAATCGCACTGAAACTATGTTAATTCGGAGAAAGTAGGTTTTTAGTTTGATTTCATTATTCAATTCCTAGGTACCACTGACTAATTATCTTGCTAGAAGTTTTCCTTTCAAACCAATAAAATTGACTTTATGAAATACATGAAAAGGTGATCATTAAATCTGAGTTATTTGTGCATTGTGCACAAATGTATGTGTTTTAGTTTAAGTATAAAATTTAATTTATTTTATGTTTTCTATATAAGAACTTTTTATCAGTTATTCATTTCTTAATCTTATGATATTTAGGGCGGGGCTATGCATTTAGTTTTTCCTTTCATCATATAAAATAGTTTTACTGTAACTAACTCATTATTTTGTAATAATTTCTTTTTGTCATTGTAGGAGGAGTTGCATTAGGTCCACCTCCACCTCCTCCACCTGGTCTGTTAAGTACAATGTCATCAGGTCTATTTTTTTTTAACTGTTCTGCTTGATGTTTTCTTAAAACATTAAATTTATTTCTTACATGCGGCAGCTTGTTTTATCTCAGGATTAGCATAATTTAAATCTTGATTTAAATTGCCTGATTTTTTAAAAATAAAATCACCACTATCAATAATACTTTTTATACAGTATAGTTTAGAAATATATTCTTAAAATTGTGACTTTGTTTTTTGAAACTATGATTTCATTGATTAAAAGTTTAACTCAGAAAAATGAAGGCACAGTAATATTTAAGTAAATTATTTGAGTTTCAAAAATATACTTATGGATAAATGAATAAAAAGACTAAATGTAGACTAAAGTGATGTGATACTTTTAAATTATGATTTTTAATAGCTTCAGTTAGATGTTTAAGATATTCAGTTAGATATTTTAAGTACTAACTTATTACCTATGTTTTGTCGAAAAAATTGAACATGAACATAAAAGCATTCATAATATTTTTGGTTTTTTCTTCCCACTCAATATACATGTGTTCACGCAGTACTTTCCTCTCTAGGTTTTGTAAACTTTTTTAAGAGAAATTTCAGGTATTGTAAAAATAAAGTTATTCAAATATTGAATTTCTGTGAGAAACAAAAAAAAAGTAAATAGAAAAAAAAACTTTATCATAGTAATTTGGTTTCATTTTAATTCATTTTTTATTATTACAGTAATTATTAAAGGTAATGGTAAATTTAAATTACAACAGGGTTGTTTGTATCTTGGAATAGAGAAAAAATTGTGAGCAAAGCCATTTCACTGCTGCTATTTAGTAAAGAATTCAAAATATTAAAGCTATTAAAAATAATAATACATCCTATGGAAAAACGTGTTTAGCAGCAGTGAGTCGAAAAGGAATTAAACAAATGAGACAATGAAAAAAATTGGAAAATGTGACAACCAAAGCTGATGTCTTCAGGGGGTACCAGCCTCAGATGTCATAAAAGCAAAACCTTTTCTATCCTTTCTAAAACCTTTTCTTTTTTTAGACAAAAGTCTAAAATTGCTTTCCCTGCAACCCAAAGGTTTTGCCTAAGTCCATGAAAAGAATAGAAGGCATAAAATACAATAAAACACAGAGGAATACAATTTAAAATACGGAAGCATATACAGCAGAATAAAAACAAGACAAATACAAAGGAAATATAAGAATGAAAGCTTACTTGAAATAAAAAAATCCAGTAGCAAAATAACACAATCGACTGCAAGACACAAGTAAAATAAACTAAACATAAACACAACGCCCCCTATCCTGCTCAGTTTAAAGTCTGTCCTATTTTCTTTAAACTAAGCTTTCAGCAAGTAAGCTTTCCTTCTTACTTTTCTTTTGTATTTGTCTTGTTTTTATTCTACTGTATTTGCTTCTTTATTTTATATTGTATTCTTCTGTGTTTTATTGTATTTTATGCATTCTATTCTTTTCTTGGACTTTGGCAAAACCTTTGGGATACAGAGAAAGCAATTTCAGACTTCTGTCTAAAAAAAGAAAAAGTTTTAGAAAGGATAGAAAAGGTTTTGCTTTTATGACATCCGAGGCTGGTACCCCCTGAAGACGTCAGCTTTGGTTGTGATATTTTCCAATTTTTTTTCTTTTTTTCATTGTCTCATTTCACTGCTGCCTTATTTTAAGGAATGAGAAAAAAATATCCCTGACTACCAAGACTCATTAAAAGTTATGACATGTATGCGGAACTGTTTCTTATACAGAAGAAAATAAATTTATAATGTTAAAAGCTTTATTAATTCTTTTTAACAAATTGCTGCTGTAATAGCTTCCGCATGTAAATATATATGTTATAACTGTCAAAGAGTTTTGAATAAAGTATATTTTATTTCTTTTAAAAACTAGCTAAAAATGGTTCTATTACCAGTTTTTTCTATTTTCTAAAGTACAAACAGGACTGAACAGTTTTCAAACGCTATTTTTTTTCTTTCAAATACTGCAGCAGTGATGATAACAACATATATTGGCGCTGTTGATCTTAATTCTACAACGTTTGTAAATGCTGAGAGATATCAATTAACATTCCACAGTGTTTTTTGAAACATTGAACAGTATATTACATGGATATAGAACAATTTTTAGAAATAGTGTCCATTTTTATCTTGTACAATATTTTGCATGCTATGATACTGTACATGGTTTGAAACTGTGTTTTTACGATATCGGTTTTGAGGTATATGCTACTTAGGGATATTGAAATTGCTTTGTTTTTTATTCGCATGTTATCATTTATTACTTGCATTACCTGCATTAAAAATTGAGGTACCTTTAAATTTTAATATTTTTTACTGAAACTTGATAACCCTTTTTTTATCTATAAAGGAAACTTTTTTAGATGGTAAGACAAACAAAAATTAAAAAATTCAGAAATTAGGTCTCTTAAGGGCCACCTAATATATATATGCATGTGTTTATATAATTAAATTTAATGTTTTCTGATCCAAATTATTTTACTGTTCATTGGATATCTAACTGATAAACTTATCTCTGTCTTTATGATTTACGAGGATGTGGATCTTAAATTGTGGGGAATACTAACATGAATTAAATTAATATGAACCATCGAATAATGAAATCAAACTAAATTGCCAAAATAAACTATTTATTAAAAACTTTACAATAAAAACAGATTTAGCACATGCTGGAACTTCCAAAATAGCTGGGAAAAGAAACTATGCACCCTGAAGCGCGCATAAAAACTAAAGTAAACACGGTGTACGAAATCGCTAATCCAACTGACAAGCAGACAAAATATTCTAGTTAGCAAGAGTTTCAGAGCGCATGCGTTACAAATCAACATATAACAAATAAGAAAAGATTTCTCCTAACAAGTTATTGTTAGATTATTCATCTATGGCTTAACATAAATGATAGCAATGTACATGCCCACTTTTTTTCTTTTAAAAAAAGTTTTTTTTCCTATTGGTAGAGAAATACCATTTCAATTGAGATTATAAGCTGGAGTTTCATTAAAATTTGGTCAACACTTTCAGAGAGCCAACAGGAGTACTATATATATGTTTCAAATATTTAAATGTAGTTGTAAAAAATCATTTTAAATCACATCCATTCAAATAAGAATAAAGTTTGAATATAAATCATGCTACCACATTAAATATCAAATTAAAATCTTTCGGAAAATTGGAAAAAGTTGGCAGGTATGAAGTAACTCTAACTCTAGTTTTATTTAATCTGTGATATGTTTGTAATAATTATATGATTTTACCAAATTAGTTGCATGTATCATGTAGTTTAGTTCTTTGATTGGTAGGCTAATAGAAATCTGATTTAAAGATTAAAAAATCTACTCTTTAAAATCTTTTAAAAAATAACTTATCCTGAATCGCTTCTTTGAAAGTTATATGGGTGGAATTTTTTTAAGCTTACTGTACACACATGCATGTCTGTTCTTCTAATAAATTTATTCTAAGATTTAAGTTTTATGTGTAAGAAAATTTATTTCACAATTCTGCCTTAAGCACTGTATGAAGTGACTACACTGCTTTTTTTAAAAAAATTATTTTGAGTATATACATTTAATATAGTATTTAATTTTAAAAAATTATTTTATTATATCTGTGTTTCCTTATAGGAAGAGATTTATTGAAACCAAGTGTTCTACGTTCTGTACGTAGCAGAATACCATCAGGTAGTGTACCACAAGATTCTGTATTATTTCTAAAGTTTAATAACAGATTGCTATGTCGTGAAAAAAGTAATTTCTTTATTTGATAGAATGTTGAAAAATTGATTGAGTTATGCGTCATGTATGCTTTAATAGTTTTCTATGTATTTTAGTCTCTATTATATTCAGTCAGCAAAAAATATTTTATTTTTATATTCATTGATCTTAATCATGATTGGTGCAGTGATCAAATTCTTGGCCTTAGATGGTGCCACTGGAAAACAAGAAGAAGCGCACCCTTCTGTCTTAAAAATGAACTTGTTAATATTGACAAGTGGCATAAGACAACAACAATGTTTAATGGGAAAAATAGTTGTCGTTTTTAAAAACTTATGTTGAGGCAGATCAAGTTTTTTCATCCAAAGTTTTTCATGCTTTGACTTTCCTTTTTCTTTTTTTCTGTAATGTACCAGAGAACAACTTAAAGTATTATCAATCATTATAGTCATTGTTTAATCATTATAGTCACCTAGCTTTGTCTCATTCATGCTATTTTTTATGTAACTATTGTTTTTGATTTTTTTTAGAAAAAAGTTATTCATTTCTTGACTTTACTTGTGTGAAAACTGTGAAAATAGTATAGCTTTGAAAATAATGAGTTAAAAATAATAGAACTTTAAATTTATTGTTTTCTAAAAAATATTAAATTTATCTTCAGGTATGCTTTGTAAGTACTCTTCATAATATAGTCTTAAATATCTATCTATATACAGTACAGAACCTCTTATCAGAAAACCGGCAAACCAGATAACCGGAACGAAATTCGATAAATTTTCCCGCCATTTAATAAAAGCACACACTTTTTTTTCCTCATAAGATTTTAGGATTTTTCTTTCTTTTTTTAAAAGATGTTTACTTTACCACCCATTTTAGAAATAATCATTAGTTCCCAACACTGTCAGGAGAAGTAAAAGTCTTGTGCTAAATATCATCAATTATTCCCTTCTTCACCCCCTACATAGTTGTTTCTTCTCAATCATAGCTTAGTGAGAAAGGGTTACTCATTGAACACCTGTTTTCTTATTATCTGGCCCTTAAGCAGGGGGAGTCATTACTACCAGCTTCTTATAGTAGGAGTCATCATGTCTGTTGATTGCTTAGGGCAGGAGAGTTAAAACAAATAATTTTATTTGTCTTCTTTGATTCTTAGAAATCTTTTAAAGTTCTCCCTACAAGGACAGCAGAACTCCTATTATTTCAGTACCTCTCCTTTTTCCTGTTATTTCCTACTTTTTCTTACTTTTTTAAAGATTATCTCACTTCTGCCATTCCCCCTTTGAACACAGTGACAGCCAAGGAAAACAGAATGACTCAAGGTCAAGTATTGCAACTTCACCCCTTTTTCAATTAATTCATTTTGAATGGAGTGTGGGGAAGGCTGAACATGGTGGAACATGAATTCTTTTTATTATGTCAACTTCTAGCTCTGCTTGCCAATTCATGTTTAACTGGAGTGGAGGAGAAATAAAATCGCTCAGCTTAAAGAGGAATAAGACTGTCACAGAACATTAGAGTTTTTGCAGAAAATTTTTTCCTTTGGAAAGTAAAAAATTTTAAATTTCTTTTGTGCACAAATTTTCAAAAGATTTTTTTTTCTCCTCAATATTATATTCAAAAGGATGCCTTAGTTGTGATCAGAAAGAAATGCTCGTGATTTTCCTCTTCTTATTTGAGAGTAATCTTCCTCTTCTTATTTTTTCCATCCGGAATTATATTTAAACGTCTTTCTCGCACGTAGGAGGGAAAAGAAATGCTTCCCAGTTTTCTCTCCTCATTAGAGTATAATGAATAATAAAGAATAATGAAGTAAAAAATTTTGTTTTTCTTTTTGCTGGAAATTTTCGAAAGATTTTTTTTCCATCCGGAATTAAATTTAAACTATGTCTTTCTCGCACATAGAAAGGAAGACAAATGCTCAAAATTTTTCCATTTTCATTTTTTAATAATGAGAAATAATAAAGTAAAAAAAAAATGGAGTGGATGACTTTAAATCTTGATGCAGACTAGGACGAAATAGAAGAAAGCAATGAGGACGATAATAGCCAAGGAGCCCATTCCTTTATTTCGGGTGAACGATGTATTGAGTTGACGAAAGAACTGATTAAGGGGATGGAGCAAAAACGTTTTGAAAACGAATCTCTCATTATGTCAATTTGTAAAGATTCAGCAGTTGTTCATGCAACAAAAACCAAATTTAAGTCAACAGAAAATGGATGAGTTGTTTAAAAAAATTGCTGATACTTTTTTTTTGTTAATTTTATACTAAGCCTGTATATATTTTTTATTTCATTAATTTTTTTCCTTTTTATCTTATTAAACTTATGTGTATTACTTTATATTTTTTTCTTCTTTTTAAAACTATTTCTAAATTTTTTTTAAAAGTTTTGTTTGAGAAACAATAAAAAAATGGCATTTTGTAGCGATTCAAAAATTTGGAAAAATCAGTTATTTGGAATAGTGATAATCCTGATCGTTCCGGATAATTGGTTCTTTACTGTATATATTTGTGTGTGTGCCTGCATGCGTGTGTGTGTGCACTTTAAAAATTTGATGTTTAAAAAGTTAATATTGAAGTGCAAACAATATTTATTTATTACAATATTAAATTATAAAAATTAAAGTAATATTGATATTTAAATATATCTAAAACTTTTATATATTGGAGACATAAATTTCAAATATTATAAATTTTTTGAAATTCTAATTAAATATTGCCATTTTATGAACCTTTCTGCTGGTATTGGCTAAATTTCATCACTACCCACATACCTTGTATAATATTGCAAAAGTCCCCTCACAATATATTGAGCTAATTTTGTGATTAAATATATCTTATGTTTAGGTATTCAAATGCAGCAACAGTGCCTACTTCCCCCAGGTGGTAATGAGTTCTGCTTTGGAAGTGCTGCTGTTGGCCAGGTTTTTTCAGCTGCTCGTAAATAAATAACTTTTTTTCACTATAAGTACCTTATTTGGAATAAAATAAATATATATATATATATAAATATATATACATATATATATATATANCGCAGTATAGTATATATAATTTTAGCTGACCTATATAGCATCTCACATCTTTTTCCAAGTTGTTTAAAAGTTGTTGGTCATATTATAAATATTTATGTGTATTTATCACAACTGCTAGTTTTATGTTTCCCCTCAAAATATGCTTACTTTTTGGGATATAAACCAGCAGATTTCTCTCTTAGAAGAAGTGTAGCAACCACTTTTCTCTCTGTTCTGGTAAGTAATTGGTTTTATTCTAGGTGATAGATAGCCAGAGCAAATATCTTTCTTTCAACTACTTTAAGGCAGTAAAAAATTTATGAAGTTCTTAGTTGTTTACTGCTTTCTGCAAATTTGAAAGAGCAAAGATCTTCATTCAAGACGCCCAACTAATTAAAGTGAAATACAATCAAGCCTCTATTTACCAAATTTCGAGATTTAATGAATTTTTCTTTCTCTCCAATAAAAATGAAGGCAAAAACTTCTAACAAATAAAAAAATGCAGACTAACAAATTATTCTGGAGGACAAAAAAAAAGCTGCTTTTCAAATTATTACAGTATCCTATCTATGGTGTCGGGAAGATAAAACAACCTTTTTTGTATTCATAAATTTTAGATATGTTAGGTCTTAGTTCAGATCTCACTGGTGCGTATGAATAACAATTAAGTGTGACCTGTAAGAACAAAAAATTCCTTTATTATCCTTCCCATTCTGAAATAACAAAGAAGTGAGGGGTATTGGATACCTGTGAGGACAGAAAGTTCCTTTATTATCTATCATCCCTTTCTATATTACTTAGAAATAAGGTGTGTTGGGCAGTCATTTTTCAGGAATATTAAATTTTTGAGAGTTTTTGAAACATGATAGAATGTTGGAAACTAAAACGTTTTTCCTTGAGTGAAAAGCTTAAAATTTTATGTGAGTTTGACAAAAATGTTGGACTGCAAAATGCTTTAGCAGAACCTCTCAAAATCTCATCAACTGTAGCTAAAATTGTTAAACAACGAGCTGAAATTAAAAAAGTCTCTGTAGAATGTGGTGAAAAATTGTCAAAAGTAAGAAAGTCATTGAAAAGTAAGAAAGTCATGAAAGTCATCAGTCTTTCTGTTCTTGAGTCTGATCTAGTGGAATGGTTCAACATTGCACCAAGAATGTAGCCATTAGTGGACCTCTAATCAAAGAAAAAGCCTTTCAACTAGCTGAAAAGCATACCACAAAAGACTTTTCTGCATTCAATGGTTGGATTGATTGTTTTAAAAAATGATATGACATAGTCCAAAATAAAGTGTGCGGAAAAAAGGCAGATGTAAAGGAAAATGTATTGAAAGATTGGAAAGAAAAGTTGCTCAACCTAATTGAAGGATATTCACCATCCAACATTTACAGCGCAAAAGAAACAGAGTTATTTTGTGACTTATAATCTGACAAAACATTCTGTTACAAAAATGAAAAATGCTTTGGAAAAAAAGTGGAATGATGACAAAATCTTGGATAACTTCTTTTCTATTTACAGTTTATTTTCGACATTGTTAGATAAGTCTGTGAATTATTTATCAATGTTCCACTCATCCTCCAATTTTCAATCTAAAAAACGTCTAAGTCATGTTTTTCCCTGCAAATTTCACAAGTGTGCTTTAGCCACCAGACCTTGGTATCATTCATTTTGTTACAATTAATTACGGAAAGTGGCTTATGAGGAAAATTATAGCATCGTTAGTGGAAAATGAGAATAGATACAAAGCCACTGTTTTGGATGCATTATTTTTTAAAGACAAACTTGTAACCAAGTTTCAGAAAATGCAATTCTTTCAAGAAGTGCTTTCAGGATCACCAATGGGAAGAGTGGAAAACGGCGATGTCTTCTTTTTGTTTGATCCTTCTGAAGAAGTCACATGAAAAGAACTTGCTCCTTATAATTAATGCACTTTGTTTATAATAAATGAAGGTTCTGATGCAATTCTGTAGATAGCTGAACAAGGTGTGACTTAAAATTTCAAAGTCAAAATTTCATCAGTTTCAAAAAGTTTTCTCGTGAATAAAAATTTCAAAAACTAGAAAACGGATGTCTTTGTTAGCATGCAATGTCTTTTTAAAAATTAAGTATAGTATTGAAAGATCTCATTTGAAAAAAATATAAATGTATTTATAACCTTTATTGTAATTATTACTTGCACTTTATTGACATAAAAAAGGCTATGTTACTGTCAATCATTATATCAGTTTCATAATTCTTTTTAATGTGTTAATGTGTTTTCTCAAAATAAGTCCAGTATTTATGAATTATAAGTAAATAGGTGGGCAATTCCATATGTGACGGAATGACATTTTGACTTGCATGATGACAATTAATTGAAGTTTCTATGCATCTAATTTCAAATAAACATGATTTTTTTCTCGTGCATATCATTATTATTGATATAATGTGATTCATAAACTAAAAAAAAAGAATTTTGTACTTTTTTTATTTTTAATTTTATGAACTTTTTACTTGTGTGACGGAATGACATTTTGGCAACCAAGCTTTCGGCATGCCGCTTAGAACTGGTAGTTTCTGTGAATTTTGCAACTATTATTTTCCTGAACTATTTTTTACTTTTAGTATAATGTGTAAGCAATGTAAATTGTGAATTTGGAAAATTAACCTCAGGTTGGCTAGCAGTTATTAACATCTATTTGCTGTGACGGAATGACCGTGACGGAATGACAAAAAGTTTAGTGGAAGAAAGTCTTCATTTAAAAAATGTTTTATTAATATGTAAATGATAAACAGAATGTATCAGATGAACAGAATTAATATTTACGTAAGAATCAGTTAAAATTTCAACAATTTGAAAATTAGGTTGTTTTAGAAGAGGTTTTATATCTAACTTGTCAATGTCACATCTTATCTTTGTTCTCAGAAAATTTATGCATAAATCAATTTTTGTCTCATGTTCTTTAAATACTTTAACATCTAAATCGTCTTTGTTTATCAAAGTAATTTGCGCTGCATATAAATCTGCCTTCTTTTTTTTTCGCAGTATGGGACAATGATTAAAGAGCCGACCGCATACTCCTCAATCATATTTCCCATTTCCTCTTCAAAACAGTGGCTTTTCAAATCATACACTTGGTTTTGGTTAAAATTAGAAAGCATTTCAATTTTGATGATTCGCTTCTCAACTACATGAGCATCTAGTGCAGGTCTCTTGTTCCTGGCAATGCTAATGTAGCAAGTGTCTAGCTGAAGTCATTCTCTTTTACCTTCTCTTAAATAGAATAGCTGGACAAAAACAAAACTTCAACGATTTGTTGCTTCGACTTTATGAAGTCATAAAATTCTTTTACATATTATGTGCCGTTTTACAGCAGCCAACATCTTGTTTGGCCTTTTAGAACAACATCACAATTACATGGAATTTATAGGTGCATGTGCTGTGAGGTATTAATGAAATACACTTAACAAAAATAAGAATAAGAACAAAAATGAGATAAGACACACTTTACATCAATATATGCTTCTTTATGAAAAGCCTCTTTTAAGGCCATAAGTATATATTGCATCTGCACTCTTCGTTACTCTGTCAGAGTTTGTATTATGACTGAATCCTTCATACTTGGGGGCTTGTAACTAACATCATCTTGACAGTAAAATTTTTTTAACCAAATTAAACAGCTCATCAACATTACTTTTCTCACTTAGTTTCTTTTGAGTTCGATGTTAAATACTTCTCACATAAAGACTGAATTAATTTTTTTACCTCTATTGGTGATTTTGGAAGTGAGTGTACAATTTTTTTTATGGTGAGTGTACAATTTTTTTTATGGCTTTACCAAGACTCTGCAGGAATTTGTATAGGGAATTTAAATTATTTGTATGTGAAGAGATTGGTAGAATTTGATTTTTTCTTTGTTTACACAATCTCTGCACAACAGCGTTTGCACTTCTGAGTTTTTTAAGTCCAACTTTTGTCGCGGAAGCTTTCTTCTCTGCCTTTCTTTCTCTGTTTTTTTTCTTCATCATATCATGGGGATCTTGGTCTTTTTCAACATTTTATCTGTCTTTCAACAGCTGTTTTAGCCATTAGGTTAATTGAAAAAAAAATAATTCCCTAGTTTTTGACTAAGCTTCTCAAGGACTCGTTTTGTCATTCCATCGCCGAAGATGTGTCATTCCGTCACGCTAATTATTGGAAGTTAATAATCAAATGCATAGAATTTTACAATTTCTCATTGATTCTTATGCCACATCTGCTTTATATTCCAAAATATACACATTTTCATTCAAAAACGCAGTTGCTATTTAAAAAAATATACTAAAACATGTGACGGAATGACACAAAAAAAAGTTACTTTTATTTAATATATTAAACTTAAAATGACTTAAAGGCTATGTTTTAAATGTTTAAATTTTGTACTATATGCATATTTTTATCAAAATATTGCAAAAGAAAGATACATTTCTTTTATTTTATAAGTATTTTTCAAGAAAACAATTTGAGCACAAATGTGAAGAATTCACTTGTCAGTCATGTGATTACTTTAGAATGATGCCAGATTCAAAAAACTTAAAATTATCAAAAATTAAACAGTAATATGTAGACTTTGGCTATTTTTGAACATATTTTTAAAATTAAAATATGCAATTCATAAAAAAAAAATTTCACTTAAAAGTTGACAATTTCGTGGAATTGCCCAGGTGTCTTCACATTATAGCGGACTCACGTTATAGCGTCTGTTTTTGTTTGGACTGCAAGGGGTCATTGTCCTACAGAAAGCTCCTTATTATTTTAGGGTTTCAAAATCTCCCACAAATTGTTTTTGGTTGTGATTCCACACGTTGGTTTTAGTTCTATTTCTCTGTCTTCATCGATATCACTTTGCTCTTATCTTCTGCAACTATTTCCTTTTCTGACAATACCGTAAGTTTCAATACTTTTATCAA